CTTATGTTAATACTTTCTTTTATAATTTAAATACTTACGAAATTAACTTATTCAGATAACATCGTAAATATATAAATAAAAAAGTATTTTTTCCTTATAAATACATCTTATTAAGCATTCTACATAAATAAAATAATACTATTTTACCTATATAAATAATGCATAATAATTTTTAAAAGTTTTTTCAAGGAAAGTTTATATTACCTCAGCATCTCAACTACTTTATTTTGTAATTTCTCCGCTAAGGTTGTTTTATGTAATAATAAAAGTGATAAGGAAATACTTACCCTTTTTATTATTTCAACTTTTCCTCTTGCCTATCATTTTCTAGGCAATTTTATAAGGAATAGAAGTATATATACAATTAATGTAGGAGTACCATATTCCTTTAAGGGGAATTGGTGTAGTTTACATTCAGCATTCTGATGATTCACAGTCACTGCAATTTTCATTGCTTATCGCATTTTGCTGCGGCCTTCATCGCTGTAGGAACCAAGACATCCATCGTTAAGATTGTGATATAATATTATTTTTTAAATTGTATTATATAATATATATATATATATTATATTCTATATACAATTTCAAATAATAGTTAATATAACATGATTTTTAAAAAAAATAAATAATGCAAAATATTGAATATCATAATTGTGTGAAAAAGAATTGTAATAATTCTAATATTACAAATATACAATAATATATATATTTATTTAATTCTATATATATATGTTAATATTATATTAAGTAATTAGAATTATTATAATTCTCTTTCTATAGAAAATATTACCATTATTTTTATAAATACTTATATACATATTTATATAGGTATTTATTAGGTAATATTTTAACGCATTTCTTCATTTCATAATAATGATCCTTCCGCAGGTTCACCTACGGAAACCTTGTTACGACTTCTCCTTCCTTTAAAAGATAGGATTTACGGTTTTTCCAAAAAAAAACAAAATATAAATTTTATTTCTTCTTGTCCAAACAATTCATCATATCTTTCAATCGGTAGGAGCGACGGGCGGTGTGTACAAAGGGCAGGGACGTAGTCAGCACAATCTGATAAATCATGCTTACTAGGCATTCCTCGTTCAAGATTAATAATTGCAATAATCTATCCCCATCACGATATATATTGATAAAGATTACCTACACTTTTCAGTGGAGGAAAATTATACAAAATGTATATATATAAAATACATATACATTAGTATATTTTTAATAACTCGTTATATATATCAGTGTAGCACGCGTGCAGCCTAGTTTATCTAAGGACATCACAGACCTGTTGTTGCCTTAAACTTCCTTGTGTTAGACACACAATGTTCCTCTAAGAAGCTTTACAATCAAGTAAATACATTCTTATACAAAAAAAGAAATAGAGTAAAAAAAACAAAATAAGTAGAAAAGGGAAAAGAATATTAAAAAAATATCCTAATATTTTCACTTATCTGTAATTTTTATCTATATTCTTCTTTGTTTAAGAATATGTTGTAATTACCGCTAATTAGCAGGTTAAGATCTCGTTCGTTATCGGAATTAACCAGACAAATCATATTCACGAACTAAAAACGGCCATGCATCACCATCCAAGAAATCAAGAAAGAGCTATCAATCTGTCAATCCTACTCTTGTCTTAAACTAGTGAGTTTTCCCGTGTTGAGTCAAATTAAGCCGCAAGCTCCACGCCTGGTGGTGCCCTTCCGTCAATTCTTTTAACTTTCTCGCTTGCGCGAATACTCGCCCCAGAACCCAAAGACTTTGATTTCTCATAAGGTACTGAAGGAAGCAAGCTAAAAAACAATCTAATCTGTTACATTAGATTGTCTTTTATTTTTAACATTTTCATCCAACACCTAGTCGGTATAGTTTATGATTAAGATTACGACGGTATCTGATCGTCTTCACTCCCTTAACTTTCGTTCTTGATTAATGGAAATATTTTAGGCAAATGCTTTCGCAGTTGTTCGTCTTTAGAAAATCTAAGAATTTCACCTCTAACATCTAAATACGAATGCCCCCATACTACTCCTATTAATCGTAACTAAGCCAAAATAAGAAAAAAGAACATAATTTTTAGCTTGTTCAATTTTGTTATTCCATGCTGTAGTATTCAAACACAGTTGTCTGTTGTAAACTGTTTGCTATGAACACTCTAATTTACTCAAAGTAACAAAAATTCTCATCACTTAAAAAGCAACGAAGAATTTTTAAAAAGAATCTATTTTAATTTTAAAAAACTCGTATTATTAGATTTGTGATAAATATACACCGTAGTGTCATTTAACATGCATCTAATAAAGCATCTTTTAAAAATTGATTCTTTGAAATTCAACTACGAGCGTTTCAACTGCAACAATTTTAATATACGCTATTGGAGCTGGAATTACCGCGGCTGCTGGCACCAGACTTGCCCTCCAATTGTTACTTTAGGAAGTTTTTAAATTCCTATCATTCCAATTGCAAAACCAAAATTTGGCATTGCATTGTTATTTCTTGTCACTACCTCTCTTCTTTAGAATTGGGTAATTTACGCGCCTGCTGCCTTCCTTAGATGTGGTAGCTATTTCTCAGGCTCCCTCTCCGGAATCGAACTCTAATTCCCCGTTACCCGTCATAGCCATGTTAGGCCAATACCCTAACATCAAAAGCTGATAGGTCAGAAACTCGATTGATACACACTAAATAAAACAGAGTTTTATTATGTGTTGCTTCTTTGTTATAATTCCTTAAATTAGTAACTTTTTTCTTATAAGGCTTAACAAATACGTGTTCTTCATTACCTATAAAGGCGATGAGGAACAATCGGTCAAGTATTAGCTACAGCTTTTCCGTAGTTATCCTTATAAAAAAATGTCAAGTAGATTATAACTGTTTTAATGAGCCGTTCGCAGTTTCTATATAATAAATATATATATACTTTCACTTGCATGGCTTAATCTTTGAGACAAGCATATGACTACTGGCAAGATCAACCAGGTTACTATATATATTATTAAATTAATACTTATTCTATAAATAATGGAAAATAATAATATTGAAATAGTATTATTTTCTCTATTTATAGAGTAGGTATTAAAAATAATATATTTATTTATTTATTGTTTTATTAACATTATTGTTAATTTACTATTGATGTTTTATTATATTATTTTTTTTAACATAAAATTATATTTTATATATATTATAATTTTATGTAAAAAATTATTGCATCCAATTAAATGTAAAATTAAGAAGATTTAATTTTACTAATTGTGATGCTTCTTTGTTATTTCTCAATCAACAAGTATTTAATTGAACAGAAATACCTTACTTTAACGTTATTTATGCAATAATTATACATAAATAACAATAAAAATTATTAAAACTTACTCCTCCTTATGAAGAATAAATTTTAATATAATGGTTTATTAAAAAATCTTTTAAATTTTCAAAAAAAATTAAAAATAAAATTTAATAACCATAATCATAAATTACATATAAAATTCAATTTATAACAATAATAACTCATGAGTTTAACGCTTCCTTCCCTTTGCTAAATGCATTTATTTAATGATCGGATTTTCACGATCAGTATTATTTATTTATTTTAGAAAATCGTTTTTTTTATCAAAATTTAGTTAATTTTTACTATTTAATTTCTATGAAAAAAATTTTTAAGTACATTAAATTTGATGCAATAGTTAATAATATAAATATACGCATGTGCATGCATTATTTTTTTACTATATTTTATAATGAAAAATTTTTTAAAATAAAAACACAATTTATTTGATACTTTTAAATAACTTTATATTTTTTTTTTTTACTTCGTATTTACATAATATATTAATATATAATTTTAAAATTCAGAATTATGAAAATATACTCATTTTCATTAATTAACTGATTTTTATTTCATGAATATATAATGCTTTTAGAATGTGTATAAAATTACTTGACAAAAATTTTAAATTTTAGCAAATGAATGACTTTTTTTTCCCTACAGAAAAGTATATATATGTGCATTTTTTATTTTAATCAAAATATCTCAACATAATTTTCCTTTATGTTTCTTGATATAATGACATGAAATTTTTTTTTTATTAAGCTACATATATAATTATTAGAATACACGAAGAATTATCACAATAGAAGAAAAAGTTTACTTTTTTATAAACTTTTAGTTCTTTAATTTTTAAAAAAATAATATAAAAGCGTATAGAAACATAAAACAAAATGAAAGTTTTTCTATTACAAATTAAACTATCTTCAATTTTAGAGAAATATTTTATGAATTTTATATTTTAAATTATTAAAGTCAATTTAAAAAGAAAAAGTTCATAACATTTGTAACACTATTTTTTGCAGATGTATGACAAAATTTTAATTTTTAATTTTCCATGTAAAAAGGAATAGAATTAATAAATAAAATTAATGCATTTATATATAAATAGATTAATACACTTTATGATTTCCTTTTTTCATTTAATAAAAATATAAAAATACAATAAAAAGATAAGAAGAAACAATATATCATTTCCAATATTTAATAATCCGTTCATTCAATTTCTTCTTAAGAGGTTTTAATTTAAACCTAAGGATTAATTATAAATAATTTTCTCGTTAAAGTAAATCACTTTCTACAAGTAGATTCAGCATATAATTAGCATTTTAAAAACAATATAGTAAAATATTTTTATTGAAAGTGTTACTCTTTCATATTTTTTTTCTCGGTAAATCTTTGTAATTTATAATTGATTTCATACATAAAAAAAAAAATGTAATGAATTTTAATGATTATTTTAAAAAAAAAAAAAAATTCCTTAATTTATAAAAAAGAATGTGTAAAAAAAATATCAAAAAAGAAAAATTTTTTATGATTCTTTTGATTTGAAAGAACCTTTATCTAAAAAATTCATACATTTAAACACTATACATTATTAATTCCCTTAATTGTTATTTTCCAAAATAAAGCTATTCATATGAGATCAATAAATCATTTTATTATAAAAGGTAAAAATATTAATACTATTTATTGTTAATATAAAACAAATTTACTTGTATATGGTACTTATATCTTTATATAAAAAAGTAAGTATTTTTATTACAAATAGAATAATTAAAAATTCTTATATTCAGAAGTGTATAAGACAAAATAATACACACAATGTATGCTTCATCAATATCAATACAATAATTAAAAGTATTAATATTTTATTGTTAGGTTATTTTAATATATAAATTTTTTTAGAGAAATAATAAGTTTGACTACATTTATCTATATGCTCTTTTTTCCCTTTTTTTTTTTTTTAAATAAATTATATTTATTATATTTTATAATATCTTTTATCACTTGTATATACTTAATTATTTATATTATTTTATCTATAAATTATGCTAAAAATATAATTTTCTTAAAATATATTAAATTATGAATCATCATATATTTATATTTCACATTTTTTGAATACACGTGTGAATTATTTATATAAATGATAAGTTTAATATTTATATTCATCAAAATAAAACCCCAATTCTAAATAAATTTTATTAATAACGTTATTAACAGATATCTTTATATATATTTTACTAAACTATCCTTGTCAATTTGTAAAGAAGGTTTTTATTAGTACATATCATCATTCATTTTATATATTTATTTCATTTATGCCTTCTTTAATTTCATTCTATTTTTAGTTCATGAGAAATTTAAACAAAAACAAAATTATCAAGTTTTCTGTTATTTCCCCTTCAAACATTAAACTCAATTTATTATTTTCTATTTTGACCTAACAAATTTTCTTTCATATCTTATTGTATAAAATATATTTTTAAATTATTTTTGTTATAATGAAATACAATAAAAATTATAATTAGAATAAAATAAATAAACTAGATAATAAAAATTATTTAAATGTTTTATATAAATAGAATAAGGGATGTAATATGATATAATAAATCTTACATTGTGAAAATTTTTTAAACAAAATAATTGTAAATTAAGTTATTATCCCCCTATTTAAGTTTAACATCTACTTACGAAACTTTAAGAATTCCTCGAACTTTATTTTCTATTATTGATGACATTGTATAAAAATATCTAGCACAACACTTTTTAATTTTATACAAAATGAATTTAATGCTTTACCTTTATTTACTACAACAGTTTTTATTTTTTCTACATCATTTTCATAATGGTTAAATAAAAATTAATTTGTTTTTATTATCATAATATTTTATTAAAAAGAACATTAGAAAATAAATATTCTCTCATGAATAGAATTTATGTATATGCAACAACCAGATAATTGATTCTTAATAAAATTATGATATAAAATAATTTGTCATTTTTTGTCATCTTTTTTTTTTTTTAAAATATAAAAAAAATTATCTTTTTTATTATACATATTTAAACTTTTTTTTTAATATATGACTAATAAAAGGTTCATTAACCATCTAAGTTATGATGTTATGGAGATGAAGTTAAAAAAAATATTGGATTTACACGGTAATTACATATATTTAAATAATAAATATAATAAGGGATCCATAAAAAAAAAAAAATATAAATTTTTTATTTTTAATGTAATCAATTATTTTTTTCTTTTATTAAAATGGATATAAATTATCTATGTAAAAAGATATATATATAAAATTTTTTTTTATTTTTGTTATAGTTTTCCAAAAATCTTCGTTGATTAATTCAATAATAATATATTTGTATATTGTTAAAAAAAAAATATATATCAAATAATATTATATTTATTTATTCTTATTTATGAAATATTGTTATTTAATTATAATATTTATTATTTATTCTCTAAAAACGAATAAACATTTAAATTATCAAATGAATGAAAATTTAAATTTTATTTTTTTTTTTTTTTATATCTATAAAATTTATAATTAAAAGAAAAAAAGTAATGAATGAATTTAGTAGTAAATTACACACTAAAAAAAAAAAAAAATAAAAATAAAAATGTTAAATTTTAATATTATATTTTATTAAATTTTTTTCAATAATTAAATTTCTTCTAAGAGTCATGCTGTGAATACAAGACAAATAATATCAGTAGAATCTAACTAATAAATAAATATAGCTACTAAAATGCAAAAGTAGACTCACAATTTAATATTCCAAGTAGTTAGATTTTTAAAATGAAATATATAATAAACAAAAGATGTTTCAATATAATTTTAATTCCCTTTTTATTTTTTCAAAATTTTCTGTTTCAGATTTACAAAGAGAAACATAGACATCTAAAGTAATTTATAAAAAAAAAAATAAAATTATTTACTGCAAAAATCAGTATTTATATGATAATAAATTTAAGTTTTTTTTTTTTTCATGTATTGATAAGGAATTTCATTATACAATAAGAAAATTTTTCGTTAACTTATTTTTTCTTCACTTTAATAACCTATTAAAAAAAATATCCATAACTAATTATCATCATTATTAGTAATTATAAGCATAATCAAAACATATTATATAAACTTTATAACTATTGTAGTAAGTTTTATTTTCATTGACATTATTAATACTGAAAAATTATTATCATATCATAATCCTATTATATCATTATTAAAATAAAACTATTATTATTTTTAAATTGCTATTGAATATCTACATTTTATTTTTATTGAAGTTTCTTTGTTTTTTTATTCTTAAAGTTAAGACTCATTTCTCGTTTCAAAAACTTAGTATATTATATTTCTGGTATGTTGGTCAACAAAAAAATATTATCAATCTTATTAAACAATAACATAAAATAGAATAAAACCAAAAGTTTATACATTCATGCAAAGTATTTGAGATAATAAGTACACTAAAAATACATTTAGCAAAAAAAAGATATAAATTAAAAAAAAAAAGAAAAAAAAATATTTTTTTTTTTTTCATGAAAAATAATACATATGAATTAAATTATCAAATGTTCATGTGTATTGAATATTTAACCTATAGTAAAAATAAGTAATAATTTTTAAGTGAACACTTTATAAATTAATGTGTTAATAATGATAAAATATTTAGATTATAAAAATT